CTAGAGCCAGCTCCAGCATTGTTTATTCTTTCAGTAAATAGTTAATGATCACTCGCGAAGTAACAGAGGCCTACAAGTGCTCAGGAAAGAGAAACGAGGGAGACACAGACCCTGCCTGCCAGAACCAGAGGGAAGGCAAACCCAGAGGAATAGCCACAGTAGGCAACCCCAGGTCTGAGGGTTGGAGAATCATTTGCTCGTGGTTGTGTGCTGTTGGGTTATTCCTGTATGGGCAACCATGACCCCACCTGCTGTGCTTTGATCTTAAATGTCTCCCCCAGGCCCATGTAGCAAAGCAGTGGTTCCCAGCCTATGGAGCTATTAGAAAGTAGTGGAACCTTTAGAGGTATAACTTAGTGGAAGGAAGTCAGATCATTGGGGTTGTGGCCTTGTAGGGTTATACGGACCTTGGTCACGTTTCTGTTCTTTCTTTGCTTTCCAATTACCATTATGTGCCGCCTTGCCACAGGTCCAAAGGCAACTAGACTGAGCAACCATGGACTAAAACCATGAGCCAAAGTAAATCCCGTCTCTTTGTGAGTTGATTTTCTGGTGTTTTGTCATAGTGATGAAAAGCTAACTGACATACTATGTGACTTTTTAAGTGATCTGGATACACTGGGATTGCAAAACATTCCAGCTGAGAGTGAATTTACCACAGTACTATGAATTCTACCTCTTTGCTTATTGCCTGTGTATCTTTTAAAAGTCCTTTAAGTTCTCTGGACCTCAGTTTCTTCTTCTGTCAAGTGCTGGTATTAAGAGAATTGAATTAAATATGCTTGTAAAGTGCTGAGAACAGTTTCTGGCACAGAGTAAATATTCAATAATTATGAGCCTCTTCAGTCTGTCGAGGAAATTCCAGGACAGCTGAGCCTTTTAAATAGATGAACTTGCACACTTTCTCATGCCCTAGTCTACCACAATGTATTGGATTTCTTTGTCCCCTCAGCTCACTAAATCCATGGCCTGTCATTCTGTCATATTAAATCTAAAGAGGACATTGCTCAAGACCCTAGACTTCCTAGGTCTCACCAAGGAGACTTTTATCATTTGCCTCAGTCTCTGTTTTAAAGCAGAGAAGTTAGAAGCAAGGTACCCAGGATTTCTGAGATCTCTTAAGGGGGAGAAGGGTACAGACATCCAAACATGGCCTGTGGCAGTGAAGTTTAAGGAAATGTGTCTTGACACTCAGCTTCTAAGTCCTTCCCTCAGATAATTCCAGAGCAAGTCTCTATGACATTGGAGACACACAATTACCTCGTGAAATTCAACATTAATAACAGTTTGTTAGCATTGGAAAGCCTTTAGCTGAACGATATTATATCTAATGACATTGTGGATTTAAGACTTGGCTCCTTCGGGGTTTATTCTTCCTTAAGTGTGACTCACAAGTAACTTGCTGTGCACACAGACATCAGGAAATCCTAGTCCTTTAGTTACCTTTCTGGTTTACCTACCAAATCATCAGAAGCATGTCAATAAAATTATATGGAGCAAGAGAATGCGAAAGGATCTTAGGACAGCGGTCTGTTCAATCTGCTTTACTTTTTAACTAATGAGGAAACCAAGACCTAGCAAAGACTAGAGACTCCCTCAAGGCCACCAGCAGTGTCTGGTCCTTTCAACTTCACCCTGACAGGATGTGACAGGCATTGAGAGAGAGGACACAGTTTATGATGCTCCTCACTGTGGAAGGAAAAGAGCTGCCAAATCTAAAATTTGGGTTGTGAAAGGGATGTTGAGGTAATTCATTCAAATACGTTAGTGCAGGGCTGGGCACACTAAGATCCTGAGAAGTAACATCATCTGTGCCAGAGCCAGAATGAGCTCTCCTAGGGAAATTTCAGCAAAATCTCCTCTTTGCATTATTCCATGAAGACTTGTGGCTTCCTTCCCTTATTATTATCAACTACAGTAATTAATTACCCCTTTAAAGCAGACTTTTTCAGTTTATATTATATGTGAGGTGCAAAGATAAATCATAAGTAACATTTACCTCATGCTCACAGACATAGTAATGTCACCATACAACATAAGACACACAGGAGAGGTGCCTGGTGCTCAATCTGGAAGCATCAGAACTGTCCACAAGTACCCTGCTTCTGCTTCCATGTCCCTCTTCATGACCAAGGAAATGAAAGTGGAAGAGATTAATTTCACTTCCACAAGGAAGCCTTAGGAGCCAAGATGTTATTCATCTCTTCCTCTCTTCATCTCTGTCTCCCTAAGCAACCAAGTTTCAGATGGTGGCTCTTCCATCAGCCAGCCCAGATGACAGACAATGCCTATGTAGTGTGAGCAAGAAATAAAACTGTGCGATCTGAAGGCTTAAGGTTTTGGGTTTGTTACCATAGCATCAATCTAACTCATACACTCTGAAATGAAAAAGATCAGAGAACTCTTGTTTCTTCCCCAGCACCTCTGTATTGGTCACTTTTCTGTTCCTGCAACAAATGCCCAAGATAAACAACTTATCCAGAGAAAAAGTTTATTTTGGATCACAGTTTTGGAAGCTCTGTTCCATGACCAGTTGGTCCTGTTGCTTTAGGAACTGTGGTGAGAGAGGCATCATGTCGACAGTGAAAGGTAGAACAAAAGACTGTTCACCTCTTGGCCAGGATGCAAAAACAGACAGAGTACAGAACAGACCAGAGTCCCCCAGTTTTCTCCAAGGGCACCGCTAAGGGCCTGAGACCCCCTGAGTAGGCCTCACTTCTTGAAGTTTCCACCACCTTCCAATAGTGCTAAGTGGGGACCAAGCCTTTAACACATGGGCTTCTTGGGGAACGTCCCAGATCCAAATGGCAGCCACTTCATCTACAATCTCAAACCTAATCATCCCCACATCTCAGTCCCTCCATGACTGCCTGTGTTTCTCACATTAAGACATTTGCCAGCCTGAAGTTCTCAGCACCACCCCAACATTTGTCCCTTTTTAGACTAACAAGTGACCCCTAATCAAAAGGCAAAAAACCATTTCAAAACCTCCTCCCTTATTCCTCCCCACACTCTGGCTCCTGGCCTCTGCCTAAACTAGCAATAGATGAAGCAATTGTGTTTTAATAAAGAAAATTGATTTACTTTTTCAACATTCTAACAGGTACCAGTGCATACAGTTCTCTAAAGATTTATGCCCACAATTTGCAAAATTATTTCTCTATCGATCAGCATAGGTTTGTTTTTTGTAGGTTCAGTCAATTAAGTACTAACATTCAGGTGGACAAATTAGTCAAGCCTGTGAAGTCCCTGGTGAAAGAAGATTCTGAGGCTAGGGAGTGACAGATGTATAAGCAAATGCTGAAATCCGCATTAGGTAAGCTAAAGAAGGCACCAGAAAACAGGTGATTGACATGCAGGAGCAGAGGAGGGAACAGGAAGTCCAGAGCCCCCCACTGTTTGACACTGGAATGTCACCTGGGTGGTGGCTCTGGCAGTCCTGCCTCTGAGCTGGATGGCCAGGCTGGGTCCCTAGGGTTCTGACAAGAGATGTGGGAAGGGAGGTGGGAACAGAGTGACAGCCAGCTCTGACAGCCACATTGGCAACCTCCATATCTGTTCTACTCTGAACAACTGCTCCTCCACCTCACCTTCAGCTTGGTGTTGCCCAGCAAGTGGGGTCAATGAAAGGCCTGTAGTGTGGAAAACAAGCACAGAAGGAAAACTGCCACAGTGGTCACAGATATTTTCTTTAGAATTGCTTTTTACATTCAGAAGGCTTACCTATATTTTCCTAATTTTTTTGAGGATGATCACATACTACCTGTGTAATAAGTAGAAACAAAAAACATTTTTGAAATCTGGTATCTGAGTGGTGAATGGCTCAGTAGGAACTTACACATACATGATGGGCCTAACTTCCTTCCCCACCGGCTGGCCACAGCTTCCTGCATTCACCCTAAGCCCTCATTCACCCTCGCTGAGAGGCTGCAAGAATGCAGCAGATTCTCAAACACCCTTCTGAGCCTGGTAGGCCCTTTTTCATGACTCTATATTTTGATTGAAAAATAATAAGTACCTGCATCCCTCGAATGACCAGTGATGCTGAACATGTTTTCATATATTTATTTGCTGTTTTTACTTCTTTGTCTGAGAAGTGTCTGTTCATTTCAGATGCCCATTTTTGAATTGGGTCTTTGAATTTGAGGGGTCTGATTTTTTTCAATTCTTTATATATTCTCGACAGTAGACCTTTGTCTGAGGTACAGCTGTTAAAAATTTCTTCCCACATTGTAGGTTGTCTCTTAGCTCTGTTGGTAGTTTCTCTTGCAGTTTATAATAGCTAAAGTTTGGAAACAGCCCAAGTGCCCATCAACTGGAAACTGGATAAAGAAGATGTGGTTTTTTTATAAAATGGAGTACTACTCAGCCGTTAAGAACGAGAAACTAGAGACATTTATAGCTAAATGGATGCATATTGAGGCCATACTCTTAAGTGAAATAAATAGGACACACATGTGTAAATACTGAATAGTTTCTCTAGTGTGAGAAACTGAAAGTGTAAATAAGGATGAAAATGATTAAAATGAATAATTGATACTTTGAAATAGGAAAAGGTCCAAAGGTGTAGGGGTGGCGGGAGGGGAAGGGGAAAGGGAAGAAGGGAAAGAAAAAATTATGAGAAGGAAAAAACAAATGGAAATGATGTCTGTGTAAATAGGGAAGGGTGGAGGGGGTGAAGGGCGCACAGGTAATGGGGAAAAAAATTAGAACCAAGATACATCATGTACAGGTACAGGCACCCCGTGATAAATGTAAACATATTGTATACCTAAAATGTACCAATAAATATATAAATTTAAAAAACAGAAAAAAATAATAATAAATACCTAAAAGTTTGCATTGCTATTTTATAGCTTGCCACATAATTTCAGTACTTATCATTTTACTTCCCGCAACAAACCTAGAAAGAGGATATTGAGAGTCTCATTTTATTAATGAAGAAACTGAGGTTAAAATTCTGATTTTTCAATCAAACTTTATTTTCCTTTTGTTGTTTTAGTGATCCTCTCCTGACTGTTCCTGAGACTGGAAAATCATGTTCTGTTAGCAACATTTACTTTGATTAATTAAAAAGAAGAACAAATAAAAAAGTAAAACGAAGGGAGGAAGGAAGATGAAAAGGAAACAAAGGAAAGAAAGCAAATAATTCAGTGCAGGCATGTTGCTGTAGGCAAAGAAGGTGGCACAAGATCCTGGTGTCAAGAAACTCTTGGTCTTGAAGGGAGAGAGAAGGGCAAACTGCATACCCCAAGGCAACGGTCCATGGTCCATGGTCCTTCCTAGGAAAACAGAGAGGAGTTGTAAACTCTTGCTCCTGCAACAAAGGGAGCCAGGAAAAAGAGCAAAGAAAGCTATCTTTCAAAAAGTGCCATTTGAGTAGGACATTTGGTGCAAGGAAGGAGAGGCCAGGTAAGAGATTTACCCTCCCATTCTGTGTGAAGGGAGCTCCTTTAAAGCATGCAATTGTTTCAAAGCTTGCTCAAGAACAGGACAGGCTATGATGAGAAGTTCCAGACAGGGACAGGCAGAGAGTTGGGCAGAGATATCTGGAGGACTTCAAACCACACCCAATAAAAAGCCCCTCTCTGCCTTTTCAGAAGAGCAGCCTTGTCTGGGAGGCTGTGATGTTCTCACTTATGAGCCACCTTTCTCTCCAGCTCCCACTATCAGAGGGACACGAGGCTCCACCTCTGAGCACTTGCCCCATGCACTTGTATTTTCTACCTCTAGCAGCAAGATACACCCTCCATTTGGAGGATGGCAGACAAGCCAATAGCATATTATTCTTGCGGTGGAAAGGAAGCTCTCTTTTCTGAGCAAATATAGTCACATATGTCATTCTAGGAACTCTCTGTGTACTTATGCATGTGATGCAGTGATATTTGTTCTTTCAATCACTAAACAAGTATTTCATGTATTCAACAAATATTTATCTGAAGACATGTTTAATAAATCCTTGGTTACTATGTCATCTCTACAACACAAAACCTTCCAAATAGTTTTCTGTGTGTTTCATTAAAAACCAAAGTCTACAGGGCTTTGTGACCCTGACCCCTGCACCTCTCTGAAAGCTACTCTCTGTTCACTGGGGGGTTTTTTTTGTTTTTTTTTTTTTGGTACTGGGGATCAAACTCAGGTCCTTGCACTTGCGCAGCACGTGGCGAAACCACTGAGCTAAATCCCCAGCCTCACTGGCTCCTTTTTCAGCCACACCAGCCACTCTGCTCTTCCCCTATTCCAATGTATTTCTATATTGGACCTGTTTCCTGTTCTGAGTCTAGCATAAGACCTCTCCTAACTCCCAGGATAGAAGTCAAAACACAGATATCCTCCACGATCTGCCTTCAGATACCTGGGTCTTGCTCCTGTGATTACTTCCAACTCTGCTGTAATGTCACCTTGTCCCAGCATCCATCCTGGCCATCCAGTATATGCAGCACCCACCTCTTTCACTGTCTACCATCTTTTCCTTGTTTTTATTCTGCAGTATTTGTAGAAACTGTCTTGCTGTATGTTCATCTCTTCAATTGACTGCATTCCCTCTACAATGAAAACCCAGGGGAGCAGAGATGTAGCTCATCACGGTACTCCTCTGTGCTTTAGTATATAGTATTTGTTCAATAAATATTTGTTCAATGAATTAATGAACTCAGGGATGGGGGGGTGGTAACATGGTGAGTTTCTGTGCTGCCTGCTTTTCCCATGGCCAGCTCTATTCTTTCATTTAAAGGAAAGCTTGCTGGTATGTCTGCAGACTGCCAATAAGAAGCACCTGAGTGAGACACTCAGCCCTGATGACTGTCACAGACAAGACACAGAACTAAATGATCCATTGTTGGGTTCCGGTCTGGCAGTTCCCATCTAACCTGCAAGTGCCAGGTAATTGGATTGGTAATGGGATATGGAGACTTTCACCTTGGGGTCACTGCCTCACTCCCAGCCAAGGGACAGCTGCAGCTGAATGTCACTGTGCTTGGAGGGATAGTTCCAAGATCTTTGGGAAACATTTGAATCTAAGTTTCAGTGTAAGGCTATGCTTGATCACAAAGAGAGAAATTGTAAGCTTGTTTTCTACACTGTATAATCCCTTAGAAGCTAATGTGAGGCCTTGGCTTATGGGCTGCAGGGCTACAGAGGAAGCTAAGAGCCCTGTCTCAGCCCTTCCTCTGATGTGACCCAAAACACCATTGAGATCACTATCGCAGCAGGCAGTGGGCTATACTTTGCCTTCACTGGTCGATGTTACTCATATAATAACCAAGGGTACAAACTCTCTTCATGGTCAGATTGCTCTGGTCATAGACAGTGTAGGGAAAGACCATGGCTCTGAAGACTGGAAAACATAGCTTTGAATCCTAGATTGGCTTCTTTCCAGTTATAACCCTGGACAAGCCTATTAACGTCTCTCTGCATTTCCCTTTCTTCATTTGAAAACTGGGGATAAAAACATCCACTTCAGCATCATGAAAGTTAAGAGAGAGTAAATCTAAACCATTTAGAGGAAGCTCACAAGCAATCAAAACAAATGAGCAACAGGGATCATCTTTCCAGGAAGTGGAAAAGGGGTCTATTTCTGGCTCCAACAAATAAATCTATTAATTTGTCACCCATGAGATTTTTTTTATTGAAGACCAACTAAGCAATGGCACAGTGGTAGATACGGGTTGAGTATTCCTTATCTGAAATGTTTAAGGCCAGAAGTATTTCCAATTTTAAATTTTTCAGATTTGTGGTATTTATATATATATAGTAGTAAGATATTCGGGAGAAAGGGCCCAAGTCTAAACAAGAAATTAATGTATTTCACATACACATTATACATGTAGCCTGAAGGTAATTCTATACAATATTTTTAGTGTGCCTTCATTTTAACTGAGAACTATCACCTAAGATCAGGTGTGGAATTTTCCACTGTGGCATCATGTCCAGCACTCAAAAACTTTCAGATTTTGGAGCATTTCAGATGTTAGATTTTCAAATTAGAGACATCCAACCTGTCCTAAATAAAGAGTTACCATGCAAAGAGTAAAGAATGAGGAGTATAAAGCAAAGGGCCACTGCTCAGGAAACGCAGAAACTGACAAGCAGGCATACATCCACACCACAGGCAAAAGGATCCTCTGCGTGCTCCAAGGACACTCAATGGAGCCAGGGGCTAGATCTAACGCCTTTTGACTGGCCTTCCCCTGGGGCCCACTAAAGGCTATGTGTCTCATAGGTACTCAACGTGTATTTTTCCTGAAGTGCAAAGGAGTGCAAAGCAGAAAGTGTGTGGCCTTACTCCTTTCTTCCCACACAGCCAGAGCTAATTCCCAAGGAACTGCATATGCAAGTTCTCTCAACCTCAAGCCTGCAGCCCATCTGAAGCCCAGCTGGGACTGACTCATGGGACATGTGGCTGCAAAGCTGACAACAGTGGCCTGATTTCAGACATGTGACTGCACTGCAGGCTGCAGAGCAAAGCCCACGCACGATAGGGAAGGCTCCTTATTGTATAAGGGAGGCCATCTGGGAATGAGGCAAGGCAAGGAGGAGAGGTTCACAGGGTTGTGAGTAGCAGCAGCTCCCATGCCCATGTCTCTGCTGCACTGGCAGCTGGAAGCCAAAGGCATGGCAAAGACCAGCCTGAGTGGAAGCCCAGATGTGACTGACCAGTTCTGCGAGATCTGCAGTCAGGCATAGGAATCACATACCTGATCCAGCCCAAGGAGCAGCTAGCTCAGCCCTGGAATCAAGGACATCAAAGCAGCAGAGCAGAAGGTGGGAGAGAGGCTTTGCTTACATCAGGACAGGACTCTCATCCAGCCCACCAGCTAGGCCCCTGAGAAAACAGCGGGTCACGCTCCTTCCTGCCGCCCACAGAAGAGATGGACTTCCTGGCCTGAGATTACTGCATCTCTAGGCCCCCACACAAGAACAGTGCCTTGGTCTCTTCTTGTCTCCTAGAGGATGGTAATAAAATGAAACTAAGAGGCTGCTGGGAGGACCCATGGAAGGAAAGGTACCTCTGTTAACCTTTAACAACAGCTCCTAGGGCAGCTGCCGGTGAACACCAGTAAGAAGGCTGGTATCCCCTCTAGCTTCCCTGTGCACCTGTGACTCTGTCCCCTTCCTGCTAACCACACATGCCATTGCCCCAGGTGCTTTATAACTCAGACTTCAGAAGGCAAAAGTGGGCACCAGGAAGGAGACCAAGGAGGGACAGAGGTGCAACAGGGGACAAGGGACAGCTGCTTCCTAATGATTCATTCTGGTAACAGCAAGGAGACAGTTTACTGCAACTGTTTTGTGCATATTAAACCACTAATCCACGTCCTGTTTTGGCAACACAAGCTACCTCACATCTGTATGCCTTACCTACAATCTGTAAAGCTAATTTGTTAAACAGCTTTGTTCTCCCATGGGAATGAGGTCATTGGTCACAGAAGATTGATTAAGCTCTTGGAGAATCAACATTAATGAAAATCAACACTGCTTAATGAGTGTTTTTATGGCAGCCTCATAAAAAAGAATTTTAGAAGGAGAAACAAATAAACAAAAACAGCAAGAAAGGCCAGGAGCCTTCTCTACTAGCATCTGTCAGTCCTTGTGGTAAACTTGGTACCAGGACAGTGACAACATCCCTCAGCTGAGCTGGCCTCCCTCCCGTCCCCCATCTCTGGCTCACCAGTGTTAGGTCTGAAGAGTCTTCATGTGTGTATGGCACACATTAGTTTCACAGACACTCCATCCCTTTAGGCTACTTGTCCTGTGGAGAGAGAAATAGATTTTTTGGTCAGGAAACCTGGGGTTTGAACACCAGTGGGATTTCTCTTTGCAAGTCTGTGAAATATGAATTCCTGAATTCCCCTTATTCTACCCAGTCATGTTGTTGCACTGAGAAACACATAAGCTAATGTAAAAAATGTTTTAATCCTTGTGTAAACAAAATGATCCTTATTATTAAGGTACTGTTAGGTAGCAGCTAATAAGCCAAATATTGGACTTTACCCAAACTGGGTAACCAAGCTACTTAACTTTCTTAAGCCATGCTTTGTCTATAAAATAGAATATTTACAGTGTTGTTCTTTCAGAGTTTGTGGAAGATTAGATGGGACATAGATAGAAAGTATTTGGCACTTCATAAGCAGTTAAGAGACATGAGTTCTGATGACTGCAGTTATTATTCTCCCTCCCTACATAGAAACTCCTGTTTCTATGATGGAATGATGAAGAGACCCTAGCACTGTCCCATCCACCAGCCAGCCACAGCCTATTCCCAGAGCAGCAACAGGCTGATCCCACTCAAGAACTCACTCAAGGTTTAAGTGGACTTGGGCTTGAGAGCAGGGCAAAGGCCAAAAGCAACTGAATAACTGATGGGATGAGGGGGTGCTCTGCTGTCAATGGGAGACACCTGAGAAGTGCCAGCATGACTGTAGCTTGAGATGATGGTTTAGGGAAGATTGGTAGCTGTTCTCACTGCAGTGTCAATAACAGTTAAGTCGGGAATAAATCAGAGTAAAAGTATAAAGACTTAAGAGGGGAAAGAAATGGAGAGGAGAGGAGACAGAAAGAAAGAGAGAGAGAGAGAGAGAGAGATCTCAGAAGGAACTTTATTCCCTCAAGGATGTTTTTGTTAAATAAATATATAAAGAAACAAATTGGTAAAAAGTCTGTTCTTTCCTATTTTTTCCATTTTGTTCTTCATGTCTCTAATTTTACCTAAATGATAATTTTATGAGCAAATCAAGTTATACATAATACATTTTATGTTTCTTAGCAAAATGATTTTAGATATGTAAATTGTACTACAAAAATAAATATTGCATGCTATTCTAATTTTTCACCAAATTTACATTCCCCTCCCCCCAAATTCCCCAACTCTCTCTTTCTCTAATGGTTTTAGCATTTTCAAGACCTTGACATTTACAAATTTAGCTTATAACTAAAAGAGAAGTGACTTCGTATGGGATTAGGTAGTATGTTCTGTCAGTTGACAAAGTTCTAAATACCATTCTTTTATCTCTGAAGCATGGAGAGAAGGATATAAATATAAATATATATATATATATATATATATAAAATTATATGGACTAGAGTAAGATGGAAACTGATGGAGATCCTTACATTTTGTGGCAGGATTTTTGAAACTTCTTCATTATGCATAATATTTCTTCATGCTTAGCTGTTTCTGAAATACTTCCAAAATCCGTCTGCATTTCCTGAAATGTAAGCCTAATAACATATTGTGTGAAGCCTGCCCAGGCCTCAGAGAGAGAAGTGTGGCTGGTGTCCATGCCTGGGCCCAGTTTCCGGAAGCTCTTTGGTTCATGGTGGCATCTGACTTCATAGGGAAGTCTAGTGAGAGTCTATATCCATAGGCATTTGACACTGACCAGAATGAGATCAAGTTCTACCTCATCTTCTGGAGATGCCAAGTATCAAAGTCTGCTGGTAAAATTATACAAAGCTATGCTGTCCAATATGTCATCACGAGCTGCATATAGTTATTTAAATCAATAGAATTAAATAAAATTAAAATTTCAAGTCCTCAGCTACACTAGCCATATTTCAAATGCTGCTTAGCCACATGGGCCTAGTAGCTTTATGCCAGACAACACAGATATAAAAACATTTCCATCATTTGCAGAAAATTCTACCGGTCAGCACTGATCTAGAAGGAAACTGAGAAGTATGAGGAAACTAGCAATTATTAAGTGCTGTTATGTATCAGGATCTCTGTACTTCAGTGGTTTTTCCTTTCTGTTCTTCACATCTCTAATTTTACCTTGTCTTCTGGAGATCCCAAGTATAAAAACTGCTGGTAAGATTATACAGATATTGGTTGAAGTGGCCAATGTCATCCTCACTTTCTAATGTAGAAGTGGAGGCTCAGGGAAGTGAACATACCAAGTCCCCCAATTGGTGCAAAGGTAAGGAATCTAGGACTATCCAGTCCTGCGCGTGTGTTGTGGGCCCTGACATGGAGACAGAAGTAAGATGTGAATGTGTGAGAGTTGTTATGGGGGTGTAGAGATGGGAGATGATGAATGATGAGGTCAGAAATGGAAATAACCAACTTAAAAGAAGAAGCAGCCACCTTCCTCTTTACTACAGACTCTAAGAGGAGAAACAAGAACTGCCCCCTCTGTGGACCCATGAGTCTTGTCTCATATGGGAGTGAGTCAAATAGCCATCAAGACCACATTGCCAACTATCAGAGAATAGGTGTGATATTGGAATTGTATCATTTCGTTGGCTGGAAAATCATTACCACAAGAATCCTCCAAATACTCTGTCAGGTCAGCCCTCTACTACTGAGGCTCCCAAAAACCTCTTCTCATTAGGAAAATGAGAGCAGCTCTTTTTAACTTAGGCCAGGTTGCTTTAGAGACTCAAGAGTGTAAGTCTCAACCCCTGGAAGGTGTTGCTATGAAAACAGCTACAAATAGGGTCTTCATGGAGAGTTTCAGCAGCCAGAGTGCCTGGAGCAGCCCTTTGTATTCTCTCTAAGCAGTAGAAAGGTACTTGGCATCACTCTTCTAAGCAGCTGTGGTGTGGGTCAATCTGAAAGTCCAGGTACAACACTAAGAGCTGTTCTAAGATCACCAAGAGGCAATAGTTCACAGAAGGAGGCTTACATGCAGCACAGAAGTGCACTTAAACTTCACTCACACACACATTGGTTAAGGCTGCTTGGGTTATGATGAAGGACATGGCCCAGGCAAAGAGGGCACACCGAATGGTTGTGGTAGCTGGATTGAAAACCTCCACTGGATCACATCTAGGGTTTATTTTAGAAGGAGCAGAGCTGTGATTAAAATCAGAGGAGGTGGGCATGGATGGGAAAGGCTGATGTCTTGTCTCCTCTACTAAATCACAGTCTTCCCAAGGGAAGGAGTCCTGTGCTTTCCAGCCTCCCCTCCATTTCCTAGCACATGGAAGACACTTGCCAATGCCCTGGCTGATAACAAGGAAATCAGTGTCCTCACATGTTTGTCAGGTTTCTTCAGATAAAGAACCAAGAGGATATATAGAAATATAATAGATTATGGGAACTGGCTCATGTGATTAACGAGCCTGAGAAATCCCATGAAGTTCCATCTGCTAGCATAAAAGCTGGTGATGTGATTCATCATGCATTCAAAAGCCTGAAAACAAGCAGAGTGGAGAGAGTAACCAAAGGCCTGGAATGGGGTGAGGAGCAGCCTGGTATAAATGCCAGTCTAAAGGCTTGAGCCCTGGAGCTCTGATGCCCATGGGCAAAAGAAATGGGTGTCCTAGCTCAAGGGGAGAGAGAGAATTCACTCTGCTTCAGCACACATTGGTGAGGGCAGATCTTTACCAAATCTATTCATTCAAATGCTAATCTCTTCTGGTAACACCCTGAGAGACACACCCACAAACTATATTTCCCCAGCTATCTGGGCAGTGTTAGCCCAGGCCAGTTGATACATATGAAGTATCACAGTGCACTTCATGGAAAACTGGTTCTGTAAAGATGCTAATGGGTATTTATAACAAACTCAATAAAAGATGTGAAAACAACCTTCCATGGTCAACCTGGTTTGGAAAGCATTGGATTAACAAGATTCAATGGGGCAATTTACTGTAGCATTTCTCTATGTCTTTTAAATCATAATGAGGAGAGTATAGAATGCAGTGGCTCCAAAGCTTAATTGACCACAGCATTCTTTCTCCACAGAGCTTTTTTGAGGGGCTGTTGTAGTGTGGAAGCACTGATCTACACCCCCAGCTTTGGATCTCTGTTATACTACTTAGATAAACAAGTATGCTACTTTGAAGTTGATTGACTAATCAATGAATTGTACCACCATATAAAACATCCCTGGAGACATGCCACTCCTGGATTTATTTATCCACCTAGGCAGCTAAATGGTGCCTTACCTCTATTAATTCTGCTCCAAAGAACATAGATTTTTCCCTTTTATGTTTCCGTAACAATGATACAATAATTGCCAGAATAAAAATCAAATTCATCACATCTACAATGAATTAATTTATCTATTAATATTTTGAGCATCTATTATATGCAAAATATTATATAACCTGGAAATATACAATTTCTAAAAGACAAAGAATTTTTCTAATTTTTCAAGAATGTGCAACCTAATTGAAGAAATTAGAAATGTACATTTTCCCTCTGTGCTGTCCACTTGCCAGTGATACTCATACCCCTCATTTAAGATACCTTCTCTGTGGCCCCTTTACTTAATTATCCTTTTCAAAAATGCATTTATTTTCACAATCTCAACTGGAGATAACTCTGTGTTTTTACTCCTGTGTACTGTATATATTATTCATAGGCTCACTTGTTTCTGAACAACTTATGAAAACCACCTAGAGATTAATTCATAAAAAATAAGCTTTCCCCCCTCTCTCTTAGCAGGACCAGATCTGTTTCTCTGCCACAATTGTATTGGCTGATTGGGCTTCTGCCCTCCTTCTGCCCCTATTCTGTAGGAAAATCATGTCTCTTTAGTATAGCTGCCACATATCTTTTCATGTGCCTGAAAAATATGCCATTGTGTTCTGACTTTTGTTTTGTGCGGAATCCCTTTCATGCTCTATCTTCTGCAAGGTTCCTCTGTCTTGGCAGGCAAAGACACTTCTGTTTGCAGCCAGGAGATTTCCACTGTACTCTGCACATCGCAATCTCTTTGTTCTGTGAGGTGGCCTTTTGTAGTTGAGTTTGCTAATGTTTCTAACTGAAAACAGGCACAGCCATACTTCATCAGTCTCCCG